CCAAGAATAAGATGAGGCTTAGGAATACTATTTTCCATTATAACCCTTTTGGGCTGTTATTTTTTATCCTGAACATGTTTTTCTTTGAAATAAATGTAAATGAATTAAAAATGAAAATGATAGAAACTGAAGGGAAAATACAAGAAACTTGGAAGTATAAAGAAAAAAAGAACTTTATTTCTAAAAAAAATAATGCAATAAAGGATTTATTTTTAGAATTTTATTTCTAAAAAGGAATAAAATTTTAAAAAAAGAATAAGATAAATTCAAATACTCATTTACAATGTACTAAATTTCTTGGACAGAGGGGGACTACTGTTGCCAAGGAGACAAAAGCAACTGTTTAGCTACAAATATAGCTCTCTAAAAAAATTCCATGACAATTTACTCTCCAGAATATTACAATCTATTCCAGCTTTTACAAAAGCCAGCGAGATTACTTTAACGAGGTCCTTGAAATTTGGTTTATGATGTCACTAACATTTACTAAATAGAGTCTAGTACAGTGATAAGATGAGAAGTCAGACAACCTAGGTTCTAGTTCCAACCCTATCACTTACCAGCCACATGTCCTTGAGCAGTCATTTTCCTCTTCTGAGCCTAAGTTTCTTTACTTGTAAAAATGAGGATAACTACCACCTAGTTTGCCTATCGTACAGGGCTGCTGCGAATATCAAATGAGAATGAGAACATTTTAGAAAGTTTGAAACATTACACAAATAAATTCAAGGAATGAGTACTAACATTTTTCAAAATTAATAAAGTCATATGTGCTCTGTACTCTTCATAGTTAAATGCCAAATCAAATGAAGTATTAGAAAAGTATAAACAAAATAATTTAATATAAACCAAAAAAACCAAACTCACAGCCGTTGAGGTGGATCTGACTCATAGCAACCCCTCCTCGGGTTTCCAAGGCAGTATCACTACAGAAGTAGATTGCCCAAATCTTCCTTGCAAGGAGTAGCTAGTGAGTTTGAACCACCAGTCTTCTGGTTAGCAGTCAAATGCCTTAGGCACTACGCCACCAGAACAAGATTGAACTAGTGGCAGATCTAAGCTCTAGACCAAGATTGCATAAGCTGTCAATATGTAATAAATGCTATATGTATAACAATGTAAATAGTGCTACATGTATGGGCTACTTAAATCATTATTTTATATTTCTACACTCTTAAATTTCTGTACCCTGGGACGTACCTTGGTACATAGCCTAGGTGTCAATGTACAGCAGAAACACTTTTGCTCCCCTAAAAGTACTCCCTCCTATTAAGAGTGACCTATTAATTATTTATTTTTATTAATTGTTTAAATGTATTCCTCTGTTAAGGGCACTTATTACTTGCTCTCTTTTATATATTTTATTATATTTTTTGCAAATAACACTCATGTAAATAACATGCACACATATATAATCTAATGTGAGAGGAGGTTTCATGGTTTACAAAAATGTTAACATGCACATTATTTGTATAAAACATATTATATTTGTGAACCCATATTTTATCTCTCCTTCTATGCACTTAAGGAGCTCTGCTGGTGCAGTGGTTAAAGCATCTGGCTGCTAACCAAAAGGCTTGAACCTACCAGCTGCTCCACAGGAGAAAGATGAAGCAGTCTGTTTCCATAAAGATTTACAGCCTTGGAAGCCCTATGGGGCAGTTCTACTCTGTCCTATAGAGTCTATGAGTTGGAGTCGACTCCATGGCAGTGAGTGTTGGTTTTTTCCATGTTCTTTGAAGGTAGATACACATCTACTTCATCTTTGTTTCTCCCACAGGTTCTCAGCCAGTGCCTTCTGTGTACACACAGCAGGCAGTTAAATATACTCCCTGCCATCGAGTCGGATCCGACTCATAGAGACCCCTCCGTGGGTTTCTGAGGAGGTATCACTACAGAAGTAGATTGCCCAACCTTCTCTCCGAGGAGTTGCTGGTGGGTTTGAACCACCAGCATTCTAGTTAGCAGTCAAATGCCTTAGGCACTATGCCACCAGAGTTCCTAAATCTTACTCATAGACCCTTCCTTGGATTTCCCAGGTGGTATCTCTATGGAAGTAGATTGCCCAATCTTTCTTCCAAGGAGTGGCTGGTAGGAGTTAAATATAAATTAAGAATTTCTCTTCCACTTTCAAGGAAGGCTCTCCTCATTCTTTTTATTTATATCCCATCTTCTTATGAAGTCTTACTTGATCATCTCATTCTACAGGTCACTCCTGCCTATAGAACTGACTGCTTATAAACCATTCAGTTCAGCAATACTACCCTATGTGTATATGCATATATACATAGTCTTCTCGTAGTTCTGTTTATGCCAAGAATATTTAGGCACAGCATTTTATATTTATTAAAATTCATTTCAACTAATCTCTTTAAAATCAATCAAGAGACTCAGGAAAGTACAGTCAAAACTGACACTTAAAGAGAACAAAAGACCTTCTCTCTGACAATGAAAACTAAATTCTTACTGTTAAAAGGCCAAAGGCTTTGACATACATGATAGTTACTAGTAAATTAAATTATATTGAGAGTCTACAAGTATCTTTGAATTTCATACATCTTCCTTTTCACTTTAGGGAGTTATTAGCACAGCTACATTCATTTATTGATAAGACCAATAAAAGCAAATGGCTTTAAATAAAAACAATTGATTATACAAAACATATAAAATAAAATTCACTTGTAATTTAGTTTTCCTTGGTGAAGACATTTATATATTCAGTTTGTACTACATATCATTTTACCCTATGCTAAGCCATAGCTTTATGTCTATTAGTGTTTCCGCTTCCCTGACTGGCTGAAAGCAGAAGAGCACTCTAAATCCTCATTTCCTTTGTATCCTTCCACAACAAGGCAGACATTTAATAAAAACTGGCAGAATGGCATTAAAGTAACTTGCATTTTGAACATCTTTGTGGTAATTAATGGGATACCACAGATTTCACGCACTTGATTTAAAAAATACATATGTGGTCAAATCCTACAATAAGAATAGGAGTTAGTTCTTTCAGTATCTCAACCAGAACAATTTAGGGTCTTTCTACTCTAACTGGGGTATTACCCAAAAGCTCATTCTCAGCAGAATCTCAGGCCTCACCGCAGGCCTTCTGAACCTGAATCTACATTTTTAAGATCTGTAAGCACTTTCAGGTTTGAGAAGCATTGGTTTAAACTCTAGAGCAAGAATTAGAATACCTAAGTTGCATATAACCAATTAATGTAAATACCTTATTGTGATTGCTTATTTGTCTTCATAATCTGCTAACTGAAGGCATGTATTTCCTGTGTCTAATAGGGTTTCTAAGGAGCTGTGGTAGCACAGTGGTTAAAGCATTCAGCTGCTGAACAAAAAGTTCAAACCCACCAGCTGCTCTTCTGGAGAAAGATGAGGCAGTCTGCTTCAGAAAAGATTTACAGGCTTGGAAACCCAATGGGGCAGTTCTGCTCTGGCTTATAGGGTCACCATGAATAGGAATTGACTTGATAGCAATGGTTTGGAATTGGGCCTGGTGCTCACAAAATATTTTTTTGTTGACTGCATGAATGTCAGAATAAGTAAAATTAGAAACCTAACCCTTCAGGAAATTCTTTTCTACATCATGACTTTATTACTGTACTAATTTTTCAATTTGGTATTATTAATTCCATTTAAAATGTGTTGCCTTCTCTATTTCAATAAGTCAATTTTATATACTTGCCAGCCAAAGCAAAAGCCTGAAAGATCTTCCTTAGTTTGACCTACCAGGAGCCTCTTTTACAAGTGAGATAGCTGCATGTTAATTCTGGCTCTCACAAATCCATCCCATATGCCTGTTCAAGATGTAATCATCACTACTTGGGGAGGAGGGAAGAAAGGAGGAATGGATAAGGCAAAAACAATACTATATCAGGTGCATCACAGGAAACCTGCAAAAGGTGATTCTTTAAGCAGGCTACTTCCAGAAAATAACTCCCCTCAAGGGAAAGAAACACGAGGTAAGAAATCCCTTACCTTTCCAAGAGCAAGAGGTGACAGTGAAGAATATAAAAAACCCATTGCTGTTGAGTCAATTCCGACTCATAGGGACCCTATAGGACAGAATAGAACTGCCCCATAGGGTTTCAAGGGTGTAATGTTTAGGGAAGGAAGCTGCCTCATCTTTCTCCTTCAGAGATCCTGGTGGATTTGAACGCCAACCTTTCAGTTAGCAGCCGATCCCTTAACCACTGAGGCACCAGGTCGCCTTACTAGAGAATATATATATACATACATTAAAAAAAAAAAAAAAAAAACCCTCGCTGCCATCCTGTCGATTCTGACCCTTAGCGATCTTAAAGGGCGGAGTAGAATTGTTCCTTAGGGATTCCAAGGCTGTAAATCTTTACAGAAGCAGTCTACCACATCTTTCTTCCACCAGAGCTGCTAGTGGGTTTCAAACCGCTTATCTTTTGGTTAGCAGCCGAATGCTTTAACGACTGCGCCAGCAGAGCTCCTAATACTAGGGGGTAATTAAAGACTAAAGACTACCTAGCGACATAAGGTGGAAACACACTACTAGCTCAGAACTAAAGCGGGTAGCGGTAGACACCAAAAAGGGAGCCAAAAACCACTTTCAGGTTTGTAGAGAAGGAAGTTCAAGGGAGAAGAAGAAAAGAGGGAAGGAAATAGCTGGGTGAAGGGTATAACTTACGATGATTTATTATTATTATTATTATTTTGAAAGAAATGACTTGCACTTGATGCGGGGAGGGGCGGAAGAAAGAGTAGGGAGATTGCAGTTCAGCCGACTGCAAAAGGAAGTAACTGCAGATGCCTCTGCCCAGCTCAGACTACGGTTCGATGGAGGCAGCCCACGGAAAGGTGGGTGGCAACGCCCGGCTCCGCTAGCCTCCGCCCCGTGGCCCAAGACATCTCCTCTGAAGCCTGCGGAGCACTGGGTGGGGTCGAAAAAGGGCAGACTGTGTGTGATAGGGTGGGTGTGTAGGACCAAGAGGGGGAAGCTGGGCTAACCAGATACCCACCTTATCCCAACGGAGCCACTGACCGATGGCCGTATCTAGCTGAGGGTCCCCGGTATAGTAGTGGGTGTGGAGCAGGTTGGAGTTCAGGTCCCCCTCTGCATTTTCAGCCATGGCAGCCAGGCTAGGGTGTGCGGGCCTGGGGCTGCGAAGTCACCGAGTCGGCGAGGGGGTGTCCTGGGATGCGCTCACCAGGGTCCGGACGCCCCTTCCTCACTGAAGGGCATCGGAGACCAACCGCCGGGTGTTTGCTCCAGCTCCTGCCGCAGCTTTGGGGACGCAAGAGAGGGAGAGTTAATCTCCCACTCCCCACCAGAACAGGTCCTGATCTCGGGACGAACGGACTGAGGCGGTCCCGCCGCAAGAGAACAACAGCCCCAGATAGCTGGTTCTTGGCCGGCGCCGCCGCCGCACTCACCGCCTTTGGTCCCGCCCCCGCGCCGTAGGCCCCGCCCTTTCCCGCCCATGATGATTTAAGCCCCCGGGGTATGAGGCGGGAGCCCAGGAGCGCGCGCCCGCGCCTCCGCTGTAGCGCAAGTTTGGGATTTACCTAAGGGATGAAGTAGAGCACGGTGCTTTTAATTTTTTAATTTGCCTGAGGCCACGTGTCCTATCCTTGTTAGCAAACCCACACACGCCCACGAGTCTCCTTTCCTCCATCTACCGTCATGGCCACCACTAGCGCCCTGCCTCATCGCTTGTTAGGTTGGTCCCGTGCGCGCGCATAGGTCCCCTTCGCTCAGCCTCGGTGCACACGCCTAGTCGCGAGAATGCGCGGCTGCTCCCGCATGGCCTCTTGGGAGTTATAGTTCTTTCCTTTTCTGAAGGCCTGGAGAGACCGTCGCAAAGACTACGACTCCCAGCAGTCTCGCGCCGTGTCTTTCCTCAAAGGAAAAATAACTACCTCGAGGCAGTTCCCTACGGGTACGCCTTGCCCCTGTTATGTTGTGCAATGTAGCACTGGGATTAAACAAAGTTAATTAAATTAAATTGAACAAGGAATAATATGATAAGGTAACAACTGGTATCCATTCAGTGCTCTAAAGAATCGCGTTCTATTGCTTCAAATATCCTGTGAGGTAGGTGGGTGTGATCCATCCCCATTTTACACACAAAGAGGAAAGTGGCCCTCTGAGATGTGAATAGACAGACTTTCGAAGTGGCAGAGTTTGCAAATGATGGAATCAGGGTTCCGACTCCGTTTCCAATCTTTTTGCTTTGCTGCTGCTGTGGACTAGTGCTAGGGAGAACAAGATTACTAGAAAATATATTTGGAAGCTGTTAAGGAGAAAAAGGTCGGCATTTAACCCAACAACAATATATAAGCTTTATAAAAGAGAGACAATGGGCAATGGGAATACTGAGGAAGAAATTGGTTTTCCCAAAATGAAATAATTTTCAAATTCTCCTTATCTTAGCCTTTTTATGGAATGCTCGCTTTTCAAGTCATACAACTTGAGGTCAGGGAGATGCTGGAAAGTGCTTACATATGACATACACCTGGCTTCTGGTGAGTTTCTTCGTTTGGTCTTCTTACAATGGCTTTATGATTTTGACCAAGTATCTTACAACTCTTCCCCTAGTCAGCTTTTATTTATAAGGGGAATGCAATGATACTTATACTGTGGCTGTACTGTAACTTAAATGACTGTAGAAGGGCTTTGAGGTAATAAAATAATCTAAAGCATTTAATTCTTTCCTTTAAATTGCATTTACCATAAAAAAATACAAAGTAACAAAGGATAAAAGGATTGCAGTGCCATTCCTGAAAAATAATGTGCCTTAGTTGGGAGTTAGAGTTTTTGCTAAGAAGTTGGATGTTTTTTTAATGGAGCCATTAAGTTATTCAGTCACACAAGACCTGGGAAATAATTTCCTGGAGAGAAATTAATCCTTCACTATCATCACCATTTTTATCCATGACAAATATAAATTGAATATTTACAGTAACCATTATGTTTGGAGATGAGGCTATAAGAATTTATATAATAACATTATTCTGTTCAAGAAGTAAAATCTGGAAAGACAAGATAAATGCAAGAAGAGATAGCTCATGTTAAATAGCAAATACTTGCTCCAGACAACTGTTAAGGAATTCAGAATCTGAGGTGATCAATAAAAGCATCAAAAGGAAGGAAGGAAATACACTGAGCTTTGAGGGACAGAAAATAAATAAACACAGAAAAGTAGAGGGCATTTCAAACCTGTAGACCAGTGGTTCTCAAATCGCTCTCCCTAGAAGTTTGTTTAAAATGTGTATTCATAGGCACTGCACCTACAGATTCTGAATCAGCATTGGGTGGGACCTAGGTACTTTCATATATAACAAATATCTAAGTGATTGTGACATGGATGGCCAATAATCTTGCTGCTCAGAGTATAATAGGAACAGCAGCATTGACATCCTCTGGAAGCCTAGTAAGAATTGCAAAATGTTGGGTTCTGCATTTTATCAAGATCCACAGATGATTTACATGCACAGTGGTTTTTGTAAGATGATTCTCTGAAAAAAACACTTCTAAATCAATAGCAGGAGCTCTGGTAGCATAGTGGCTAAAGCACTTGACTGCTAACCAGAAGGCTGGCGGTTCAAACCCACCAGCCACTCCTCGGAAGGAAGGTTGGGCAATCCTACTTCCATAGCGATACTGCCTCGGAAACCCAAGGAGGGGTCACTATGAGTCGAGGCTGACTCGACGGCACATAACAACAACAACAACAACAAATCAATAGCAACTTTCAAATGATGAAATTATATTGGGCAAGTGTAGAAGACAGGAAAGACACAAGTTTTAACTCAATACCAGTGTCAACCAGCCTTTATTTGTACCAGTAAAGTCATAGCAAACAAACTGGTTGCCTTGCCCAGAGCCTTCAGCTAATTGCTAGGAATTGAGGGTAATCAAGGAGACAAGAACAGTGTCTAAGTGTGTCCAGAAGAGGGAGTATAGTAGTTTTTCTAATGTGGGAAAGCTCAGAAGCTTGTGTTTATGCCAAAATTTGCAAAGTGATTATTTTTTCCCCTTTATTTTCTTGTATGTGTTTTAACTTGAGAGCTATGTGTGTACTCTAAAGAAATTAGCAAACCTATTCTGGAGCCCTAGATTTTAGATTTGAAAAGAAAATTTATATTAATTCCTTCATTTATTGAACAGACTTGATGGAATGCCTGCCATATGCCAAACACTGTTGTACACTGTGGTAGTTAAAGTTGTTTGTCATCTTGGTTGGGCCTGGTTGAGTAGCTGGGCAGCTGGTGGTAGTTACTCCCCATGATGAGACTGGCAATCAGCTCCATGGTGGGATGTACCACAAACAGCTGAGTAGCTGTTTTGGGGATGTGGTCTGCTTCCTGTATATAAGAAACAGCTTTGGGAATGGTCTCTAGCTTATGGTCTCCAGCTTGAACTCTGCATGTAGTCGTGTCGTTGTTCAGCAGCCTGCCATGCTTTACCGATCTTGGGACTTTCAATGGACTTGAATGAATGGCCTGCTGTGTGGTTTGGTAATGTCCACACTGTGCCTTTTTACTTGTCAACCTTGGGCTTGTCAGTCTCAGCAGCCAGCAGCTGTCTGAGTGAAGAAAAGCCTTTAGCTCCAGTGGGCTGGGAGCAGGAGGTAGAGCTGAACCTCAAGGTTGAGAGGCTTTCACCCAACCCCTAGAGCCTGGCACTTTGAACTTGGACTTAAAGCCTAAAACTGTTGTTGTTGTTGTTAAGTGCCGTCGAGTCGGCCCCGACTCATAGCGACCCCTCCTTGGGTTTCCAAGGCAGTATCACTATGGAAGTAGGATTGCCCAACCTTCCCTAAAACTGTAAAAGAATAAATTCCTGTTTCTTCAAGCCATCCCATTTGTGGTATGTTCTTCTCAGAGTGGCACTAGGTAGTGAGAACATACTTGTTAAGGATAAGCAGTGAACAAAATAGACTACTATTTTGAGGATTTTGTTCTAATGGGGAAAGAAGACAATAAATAAATAATCATGTGATGATACATGCTATGGAAAAAAGAATAAAACAGAGTAAGGACAGAGAATCTGGAGGTAAGGGGTTGTAATTTTAGGTAAGTGTTCAAGGAAGGTATGAATGCTAAGGTGACACTTGAACAGAGCTCTGAGGAAGAAACAAAGCAGACCATACAAATATCTGGAAGAAGGGCATTTCATATATTAAAAAGAGCAAATGCTAACGTGGGAGTAAAGGCGCCGTAGTGGCACAGTGGTTACAGTGTTTGGCTGCTAACTGAAAGGTCAGCAATTTGAACCCACAAACTCACCAGCCATTCCACAGGAGAAAAGATGTAGCAATCTGTTTCCATAAAGATTTATAGCCTTGGAAACCCAATGGGGCAGTTCTACTCTATCCTATAGGGTCACTATGTGCCAGAATTTGACTTGACAACAGTGGATTTGGTTTGGTATTAAGGCAGGGGTAATTTTACTTGTGTATGATATTAATTATATGATTCAATAATTTTCATACTCTTTTGGATCACCTTTCGTTGAAAGGGCATGTATATGTATATCTTCCATTCACTTGGCCAGGTAACTGTCTTCCAAATTTTTTTGGCAAAAATAAGTGTGAACTTCCAGCATCACATCCATTTGTTGAAACATCTCAATTGATATTCAGTCAATTCCTGGAGCCTTGTTTTTCACCAGTGCCTTCAGTGCAGCTTGGACTTCATTCAGTATCATTGATTGTTAATCATTTGCTACCTCTGGAAATTATGGGTAACATTGAGAAAAATGGGAATTCCAGAACACTTAATTGTACTCGTGAGGAACCTGTACATAGACCAGGAGGATGTCATTCAAACAGAACAAGGGGATACTTGTTATTGTTGTTAGGTGCCGTCAAGTTGTCTCCATCTCATAGCGACCCCATGCACAGCAGAATGAACCACCACCTGGTTCTGAGCCAGCTCCATGATTCTTGCTATACTTGAGCCCATCACTACTGCCACCATGTCAATCCATCTAGTTGAGGGTCTTCCCCTCTTTTGTTGACCCTCCACCTTACCAAGCATGACATCCTTCTCCAGGGAATGGTCCCTTCTGACAACATGACCAAAGTATGTGAGACGAAGTCT